AGGAAGATATATGACAAATTGGTGGTGACTGTGAGATGCGTCTCATCCGTTAGACGCAAGTTTGACAATCAGGTTCCAAAAATGAAACGCCCTTTGATTGCCACCCCTGAGAAATTGCCCCCGAAAAAGTTCGATCTTTACAGGAGCGATGAAAGCGACGTTGTGTCCGCAACGATCGGAGAAACGAAGACCAATTCCACTTCAATGACGATGTCCAAGAAGAATTCGGCTGCTGGTATATGCCGAATAGAGGAAGAAGCATCGTCCCAATCTAAAAGAAGTCCCAAATTAAGGATAGAAGTTCCGGAATGACTTGTGCAGAAGAAAAGCGAAGCCTTGAAAACGACGATCACGGGATCGGCGGTATATGCGCCTCCCCTAAAAAATTAAAAAAAAAAAATAATAATAATATATAAAAAATGAAATGATGAATGAATGACGCCATAATAATGGAATTCACCGCTCTCAAAGAAACTGGTCCCCTTACCTTCTACACAACAGTTACAAGTAAATGTTCAGTAATCAATAATGTTTGTATTTGAACAGTTTTGTTCTGGTGTAATAACGCCGCTTTCCAAGAACACTCCACTTTCATCGTCAAAGCCGGTTGACCGTCCAAGCAAAGACACGACAGTTGATACAATGGATACTAGACCACAGCGAGCCCTTCTAGTCATAAATACGACCCAAAGGAATGATCCTTATAGATAAAAAAAAATCGAATTCGAGTGCCAATATTGCCACTGGTAGTATAAAGGAAACATAAGTTTCCCGACCTTAATGCACAAGAAGTATCAAAGATATACTCTTTGATTGCACAACATTCCTTGAGAATTCTGTAAAGAAAAGTCCGTAGTATTACAACCAATTGTTCTGTCGCGCATCAATATATCAGATGAGCCAGAGGATTTCGTACCATCCACATGATAGAATCTGTCGATGATAGTAATGTCAAAGACAACGACGATTCTAGTTCTGAGGATGATAAGAAACATGCAAAATTAAAAGATGAAATACGAACACAATCAGAAATGAAAAGAGAAAAAAGAGTACTTATCTCTCAACAAATCGTCGGTCCCGAGGGTCATGCCAGGATACCGACGATCATGAAAATCGTGGCACCGAAAGAATCAAGGGACGAGTTCCTAAAGGAAGAAAGGACCGTTCAGAAAAAAAAGAAAAGAATGGCAAAAAAACCAACGGCAGAGAACCAAACTTACCGACAAGACTCCGGTAGCTCATGCCAAAGACGATGGATATCGCTGAGGGTCAAGAAGAACCTGCAGATGGCAAATCGAACGTGAAGCATGGGGCTAGGGAAAGACTGGTAAGAAAGAGTTAGAAGCCGATGGTAAAAAGCCGCAAAAGAAAAAAATGTCACAAACGCCGCAACTTACTGGAATTACACCAAGACGAGAGAATACGACCAAGACTGACGACTAAAAACGCCGAAATGCCATCATGATCATGATCATGATCACGATCGCCCTCTAATCACGAAAAGACCTATACGTCACGAACGACGAAGCACATCGCGACCAAGGTTCCAACGGAAAGAAAAAAAAGAAGACAAGAATAATGATAACCCAAAGATCAAATACCGGGATGCTGCCATAATCGTAAGCACGATTGCGCGTTTCCCCCACAGAGGTCATCGATCATTATAGATTTCAAGAGAACCAGTGGAGTTTCCTTTACACTCGAAGATGAAAAGATTGATAACCGAATCAGCGAAAAAGTGTATTCTTTGCTCGTGTTTCTGGACGGACATCAAGATAGTGGGACACTGTCAATAATTGGAGAGGAGGATGGTGGATTTCCGAACTCAGTAACACCTAAAGCTAGCGACCTAACGCTTGAAAGCCTTTGTCTTTATAAAAGTGAGGATGAGTTCGATTCAATCGACCTAGGAGAACCCACATGCAATGGCATGACAGCTCCAATATGAATGCCGGGAAGCTGTCATGGCCGTGATCATAGTCACGATCACGATCATGATCGCAATCGCATGCCCCCAGAAATCACGACGCAACGGCATAACCTACCAAATAAACAAGAACTCTGTTAGCATATACTTATGCCGTCAAA